CCGAACTGCTGACCTACTGTCCCTCCACAGCCTGCAGTGCAGCGTCTTAACCACTTGAGCCACCGCAGCTCTTTTTTATAAGAGCCCGGTAAATCCCAGCTATGTGAAGGAAGAGAAAAAGAACAAAAAGCGAAACCCAAACCCAGAAACTCATTTTTACAAAAGTGCGTCTTCCAACCTTCGTTGTAGCAGGGGGGAGTTTAAACACCCGGAGACGAATCGAAAAAGGCCAAATGCAAAAGCAGCGGGGAATGAGAAGCTCGGACTATTTTACTTCCTCGCCATTCGCTGGGTTTTGTACATTATTGTAATATCGCTGTTTGAAGAACGCTCAGCTGGATTGATCGTTTCAGAGGGCGGCCGTGCTAGTCTGCAACAGAAAAGCTAGATCCAAGTCCAGTAGCGCTTTAGAGACTAACAATGACTTTCGGGGAATCTGCTTTTGAGAGCCAGAGCTCCAGACCCTCGAAACCGTTGACTCTCAAAAGCTCGCACTCGGAAAAATCTTATCGGTCTCCAAGGTTATACTGGACCTGAATCCGGGCCTGATAGGTTTGCCTAAAGGGGAGAGTCGGGAACAGTGTTCCCTCTAAGCTGAGTTAATGTGAGCTAGCTCACAGTTTTTTAGCTTCCAGCTCACACATTTTTGTCTTCGCTCAGGAAGGATGGCTCCAGAGCAAACTAGTTGATGCAGCAGTCAAATCACTTGCTCACAGCTTTAGTGCCAGTAGCTCACAAAGTAGAATTTTGGCTCACGAGACTCCACAGCTTAGAGGGAACATTGGTCAGGAATACTAACGATTCTTAACTGGATGTCAGATTTTTCTTCTCAGGATGAGACAATTGTCAGGAAGAAGAAGAAGAAGAAGAGGAGGAGGAGGAGGAGGCGGCGATTGGCGTCTCAGAGTGACTTACAATCTCCTTTCCCTTCCCCTCCCCACAACAGACGCCCTGTGAGGTAGGTGGGGCTGAGAGAGCTCTCACGAGGACTGCCCTTGAGAGAACAGCTCTGAAAGAACTCATGACTGACCCAAGGTCACACCAGCAGCTGCATGTGGAGGAGTGGGGAATCAAACCCGGTTCTCCCAGATTAGAGTCCACACACTTAACCACGACACCAAACTGGCTCTCTCAGGAGAGGAGATGGCCTCCGGTTAGCTCTGTAGGTGACCCCCGCCCAGCCAGCAGAGGGGGGCATCATATATGTGCGTGCCTGCCAAGGGACCGGCGTCCGAGATGGACAGGAATCAAGCCGTGAGCCGGCTGAAAGTGACGCACTGAGGTTTCTGCTGCAAAGGCAGCCTTGCCGGCTCGCAGGATTTGCCTCTTGGCCTGGGTCTGTGAGCGCCGTATTGAGTTGTAGCTAAAAAGCAAACGTCACCAATAGCAGCCAGTGGAACTTCGCACTGCTGGGGGAGGCGGAGGGACGTGCAACGATAACGGACGGTTCTTCAGAGTAACCGGGACTCCTGCAGCACCTTAAATACTAGCCCATTGGTTGTCGCATAACACTAGATGTGTGAATTGCTCGGGTGCCTTTAAGCTTCAGTGCATGGCCAAAACTAAGCACCGATCTGGGTTCCCCCACCGGTGGGGCCGTTGCCACGCAGCCACTTTTAGACGGCCTATTAAAGACTCTTTTAATATCACTGCCTTGCTGACCTGTGAAGAGAGTGCTCCAGGGCAACGGACAGAACTGTGGTTCTAAGAGAGGTGCCCGATGCTGGACTCACTGTTGAAAGGGGGCATGATGGCTCCCTTTAAATATCTGGAAGGCTGTCCTTTGGAGGAGGGCAAGGAGCTGTTCCAGTGGGCAGCAGAGGAGAGGGCCTGAAGCGACGGGCTTAAATTACACGCAGGAAGGTACCGGCTGGATAGGAGGGAAAACCTTTTCACAGCCAGAGTGGTTCAGAGGTGGATTCAGCTGCCTCTGGAGGTGGTGAGCTCCCCTTCACTGGCGGATTTCAAGAAGAGGCTGGGAGAATACTTGTCAGGGATTCTCTAGGCTGGTCCCGCATTGGGCAGGGGGTTGGGCTAGATGGTCTGTCTGGCCCCTTCCAGCTCTATGATTCTGTGATTCTATGACTATGGACTGTACACTGTGGCCAAGGGGAGCCTTGTGCCCAAGAAGGACGCCAAGCCAGATGTGGACCCGGGACTACAGAAGCCTTCTACTTCTGCACATCTGCACCCATAACAAGTACCGGGATGATGAGATCGGGCTAGCCTGGGCCATCCCTGTTTTTGTTACTTCCTAAAAAAAACCAACACCCTGCCTTTCCCCCAAGGAACTCAGGGTGGTAGACCGACCCATTCCCCCTCCCGCTTTGGTCCTCGTAACCAATGCCTCCCTCAAAGCTGTGGAGTCCTGTGTGCAAAGATTCTACTTTGTGAGCTCCTGGCGTTCAAGTCGTGAGCGGGCGATTTGGCGGCTGCACCAATCAGTTTGCTCTGGAGCCGTCCTTTCCTGAGCTGAGGCAAAGACGTGTCAGCCGGAGGCTAAAAAACTGTGAGCTGGCTCACACTCGCTCGGCTTAGAGGGAACACGGCTCGTAACCACTCTGTAAAAACAGGCTTTCGCCGAGAACACGAGTGTCCCAAACAAATTCTCCACGTCAACCTGATTCTCCCCGCTCACTGCCTGTTGTGTCTTCTGGCCTGTTGTGTTTTGTTCTGCAAGGAGATTTTACTAAGTCTTTTTCGTGAATTCCTCCAAGGCTTGGACGGGTTAGAAGCTGGCACAAACCTGCACGTCAAAAGACTCTAGCTGATGCCAAGATCACCACTGGCCCGCCTTCAGGTTCACTGCGTGCCAACGTTGTGTTTGGCTGGCTTCTAAGTGCCGAGGGCCACCTCTCCCCGCACGGCACGAGTGGCTGGCGCCTTCTTACCTTGTCCCGTTCTTCTTGGAGAAAGTGTTTTTGACGTTGAGGTGCCGGCTATTGAGCTCCAGGGCCGTAAACCCCCCATTATCCAGGGTGACAGATTCCTCCGTGTGGGAGACGTTTTTCCCTGGGGACAAACGGCGACAGAATGAGAGCAGGCAAAAGCCCTGCCCCGGCTCTGCGTGGAGACAGAGAGAGAACCGCCATGTTCAGATAATCGTCCTCCTTTTATAACGAGATCTTTCTTATCCCCCCCAACACACTGTGTCACAGGAAGATCGCGGCACAACCAAAGGAACAATTTTTATCAGCATTTTACAACCAATATCCACAGATAATATCTCCCTCCCCCCCCACCACCCGCTCTCTCTCTTTTTGGTGTTTGGGAGGGAGGAAAAGAGGGAGGGAGGGAAGCTTGCCGGTCACATATGGATTTCTTTATCAGGCTGCAGAGTCTACAGCAGCATTTAAAGGAGACAGGATTAAACCTTCTGATGTCTTCCCCTCCCCGGATTAGCGTCTTGGTCACCCATAAGCCCCCTGAACACCAGAGAAGCTTTCTGATCACAGTTCCAGGCGCTGATTTGTGTTTTCTTGCAAGTGAAGCTGCAATCAATTTCAGGGGGATTCGTTCCCAAGCAAGGGGGTTTAGAAATTACGGCGGTGACCCCCTGAGGAACAACCTCCCCTCCACATTCGGCAGTGGGACTTGCTAGTTAAAGTGGGCACAAGATGGCAGGAGGCCCCAACCTTTTCGGGATGGTACCCTACAAGTCCAAGGTCCTTTCTGCACTAGACCTTAAATCCTGGTTCAGCCCTGTCCCCGAACTTACATTCTACACTACACGCGAGTTCACCTCTGCAATTATCTCGGGGTATTTTTACATTCTACACTACACGCGAGTTCACCCCTATAATTATCTTAGGGTATTTTTACATTCTACACTATACTCGAGTTCACTCATGTAATTATCTCTGGGTATTTTTTGTTTCCACATTACACGGAGGTCACCCCGGTTTCGCCCCACACTTGTCCCAGGATAAACGCATGCTGTTATAACCAGGGATAAATGCAAGGTATTGTGTCACGAGATGAACTCTGATAAAACCAGGGATGCGATGTAAGTGCGGAAGGGACCATAACTCCCCAAATCCAGGGTTTTGTATATCCCCTTCTGGAAAAAAAGACATTCTGCCCAAGTAATCCCAATTCTTCGCCAGGAAAGGCTGCATTCAAACCAGGGGTCCATCTAGTCCAGCATCCTGTTTCACACAGGGGCCAGCCAGTTCTCTAGAGGGCCAACAACAGGGCAGGGAGGCCAAGGCCTTCCCCTGATAAGAACATCAGAAGAGCCCTGCTGGATCAGACCAGAGGTCCATCTACTCCAGCATCCTGTCTCACATAGAGGCCAATCAGTTCCTCTGGAGGTCCATCAACAGGGCATAGAGGCCGAGGCCTTTGTAGGAACATCAGAAGAGCCCTGCTGGATCAGACCAAGGGTCCACCTAGTCCAGCATCCTGTCTCACATGGTGGCCAGCCAGTTCTCTAGATGGCCAACAACAAGGCAGGGAGGCTGAGGCCTTCGTAGGAACATCAGAAGAGCCCCGCTGGATCAGACCAGGGGTCCACCTAGTCCAGCATCCTGTCTCACACAGGGGCCAACCAGTTCCCCTCAACATCCAACAAACAGGGCAGAGAGGCCAAGGCCTTCCCCTGATGCTGCCTCCAGGCTCTGGGATTCAGGGGCTTAGTGCCTCTGAACATGGAGTTCCCCTCAGTCACCACGGCTGATAGCCACTGATAACCTTACCCTCCACGAATCTATCCAACCCTCTTTTCAAGCTGTCTATTCCTGTGGCTGTCGCGACACCCTCTGGCAGCGAATCCCACATTTGAATCACTCTCTGTGTAAAGTGGTATTTCCTTTTGTCTGTCTTGTTATCCGTCCAGTCAAACAACAAATATATACTCTGCAAAAAACCTTTTTTATAAGTTAAAGTGTTCTATATGCTTTGTCTTATAAAGTGCGCTGTGTATTATTCATAATATTCTAAAACAGGTATATATTAATTACAGGCAATGTCAACAATAATAATCAGTTTGTACAATCTAATAGCTACCAGTCAATTGACATCCTTTTTACACTTTAACTTATAAAAAAAGGTTTTTGCAGTGTATATATTTGTTCGTTGACTCTTCTAACACTGCTGCTCGAGTTCCCACAGTTGTTATCCGTCCAGCCTGTGCAGCTCTGCAAGACCACCAACCCAAACAGCCGTCTTGCTACGTACTGTGGCTGTAATGGAAAGAGGTTCCACTTTTCCACTTCTAGATTTACACTTTCCCTTCCCAGAGAGCCAGTTGGGTGTTGTGGTTAAGTGCGTGGACTCTAATCTGGGAGAACCGAGTTTGATTCCCCCACTCCTCCACTTGCACCTGGCTGGATGACCTTGGGCAAGCCGTAGTTCTGACAAGAGCTGTTCTTGAAAAAGAGCAGTTCTCAAAAGAGCTCTCTCAGCCCCACCTACCTCACCGGGTGTCTGATGTGGGGAGGGGAAGGGGAAGGAGTTTGTAAACCGCTCTGAGACACCCTTGGGTAGTGAAGGGCGGGGTATAGATCCAATCTCCTCCTCCTCCTCCTCCTCCTCCTCCTCTTCTTAGTGTTGTGCTATGTACTGTGGCTGGCCAGATGCCTGGGCCTGCAGTCCAAAGCAGGAAAGATGGGAGGGAAAGGAAGTTTATTTGACTACCGTGGATGATGATGAGCTGACTTCCGCTTCCTGAGTCATCAGACAGTTCAAGCGTCTGATGGACTATCTCATATTAAGACGGGGGATTTGACCGTGCGGGTGCCCCGCAATCCAGACTTTAAATGGCTGGTGCTTCTTTTAATGTGGTGTCTTTGGGGGGAAAGCCCCCTCCCCTCTAAGCCGTGGAGTCTTGTGAACAAAAAATTCCACTTTGTGAGCTACTGGCATTAAAGCTGTGAGCGGGTGATTTGGCTGCTGCATAAATCAGTTTGCTCTGGAGCCCGTCCTTCCTGAGCGAAGACAAAAATGGGTGTGAGCCGGAGGCTAAAAAAACTGTGAGCTGGCTCACACTAACTCAGCTTGGAGGGAACACTGCCCCCAGCCCACCCACGCACCCACCAAAACCCCTTGGTCCCATCTAAATCTCCTGCATGTCAGGCAGGTCTTTTGTCCCCAACAGCATTAAGAATTGGCGTGAACAGATCTTGACGTGGGTCAGATCTGCCCTTTCATGTCTGTTCTCCAGACACAGAGCGCGAGGAAGGAATGAGAGATTTCTCTATGCGCCATGCATGGGGGCCTGTAATAGCATTAGCTCGGTAAAATGCCACGGCATTCATACATTGCAAATCCCACGGGAGTGAAAACCTGGTTTGCTAACCACTTGCTAGAAGTGAATTCATACCGGAAGGAGAAATATCCCTTCTTTGAGGGCTGAACTACCGACTCTTCCAAAGGAAGGCGGCTTCTCTTGGTACCTCTCCCCCCCTCCCCGCTTTCTCACAACGCAGCATCAAAGAGGCGAGTAACCAGTGCCGGCTGCGCTCGCTGACTATTGATTTCCGAGAACTCCCTGGTTTGTGTCATCAAAGAGTTAATGCCTCTGTCACAGGTACCGCCAGGTTTATGGAAGTGCCCGGCCCCGGGCTTGAAAGGACTCCAACGGACGTGGACGTCTCAGGAGGAAAGGGCACACATTTTATTTGAAAAGCACCCGCAGCAGAATTCAGGGTCTAAGCCATGAATATTTAAACACATCCCTCCGAGAGCGCAAGAGTCTTGTCTTCAGAGCGGCAAGGCGGCGGCCCTGGCGGGCTTTTGTAGGTATCCCCAAGGAGGGCCTTTTGAAAAGTCCAAAGGCTAAGGATTTATAACGGGGAAACAAAAGTTGGAAACAGGCATGCCGCTCGGCAGCAGATGGGCAGTGAAGAGCCACGTAAGCCTGGAGAACACCCCCAAACGGCGCTGCGCCCCATGACCTCAATGGACTTGGGAGGACGCGACTCTAGAAACGCAATCCTAAACATCCACCAAGAAGGCCAAAAGGTATTGTCTTGCGTGGAACTGCCCGGGATTTCACCTTGAAAGGGTGGTGCAAAATGGCAAACAGGCACATGGCGATGCAGCCAACTACGCTTGCCAGCTCTGGGTTGGGAAACACCGGGAGATTTTGGGGGTGGAGCCTGAGGAGGGTGGGGTTTGGGGGGAGGGGCTTGAATGGGGTACAATGCCATGGAGTCCACCTTACAGGGCAGCCATTTCCTCCAGGGGAATTGATTTCTGTTGCCTGGAGATTAAAATGTGGGATTTGCTGCCAGAGGATGTGGTGATGGCCACAGGAATCAACGGCTTTCAGAGGGGCTTAGAGAGATTCATGGAGGATCGGTCTATCAGTGGCTCCTAGACATGGTGACTGAAGGGAACCTCCACATTCAGAGGCATTGAACCTCTGAACCCCAGAGCCAAGGAGCAGCATCAGGCCTCATCCTCTCTGTCCTAGTGTTGACCATCCAGAGGAACTGGTTGGCTACTTTGTAAGACAGGACGCTGGACTAGATGGACCGCTGGTCTGATCCAGCAGGGATACTCTTAAGTTCTCTGTGCCCTGTTGTTGGCCCTGCAGAGGAACTGGTTGCCTGCTGTGTGAGACGGGATGCTGGACTAGATGGACCTCTGTGCCCTGTTGTTGGCCCTGCAGAGGAACTGGTTGCCTGCTGTGTGAGACGGGATGCTGGACTAGATGGACCTCTGGTTTAATCCAGCAGGGCTCTTCTGACGTTCTTATGCAAAGTATTGTAATACCAGGAGACCTCCAGCTACTACCTGGAGGTTGGCATCATCAGCAACCACACACAAGCTCTTTTCCATATACCGAGGGCCACGTGGGATAGAGCTCGTTTCGACACATATATGGATCGCCACAACTTTTTGCCCATGTAAGCGACTGTCAGGCCTTAACTCTGAAAATTCGAGACGAACCGATAACGTTGTACAAAATTCGGAAGACGAAAAGGGAGAATCCCAGAGCGTTGTCGTCTCTGGCTCCCCAGGGGTCCGGGAGCCCTGAATAAACTCACCCATGTTGCAGTTTTTATATTTCTTGGCCTGGCTGTACAGGAGGAGGGTGAAAACCAGCAAGAGGAGGAAGATCAGGATGCAAAGGGCTATGACGAGCAGAAACCACCATTCTTCGTAGAAAGGAGACTCTAGCTGAGCTGTAACAAGGGAGGGAAAAGGGGAGGCAGGAGAGGATTAATTTTGGGAACAAACACGTCTCAGCTGTCTCCTCCCGCACCGCTGTCCCCCACCAGCATTTCCCGCACCGCTGTTCCCCACCAGCATTTTTATTTTAGGGGTAGAGGAAGAGGGGCGAGCAAAGGCATTGGTGAGGGTGGTCAAAAGGTCTCTTCCCATATGAAGAAGTCTGAGTCCAGTGGCACCTTTAAGACCAACGAAGTTTAATTCTGGGTAGAAGCTTTGGTGTGCGTGCACACGAAAGCTTATACTGAAGAAGTGTGTGTGCACATGAAAGCTTACACCCAGAATTAAACTTTGTTGGTCTTAAATGGACGAAGTACTGATCCCTGCGGTACCCACCCGAACCCATATGAACAACATGGCTACCCACCCGAACCCATATGAACAGTTGGCTTCAATCAAGATGGGTTGCCATGTTAGTCTGTCTGTAGTAGTAGAAAAGAGCAAGAGTCCAGGAGCACCTTGAAGACTCACAACATATGTTGCGGGGTAGGAGTTTCTGTGAGTCACTGCAGTATCTGAAGAATATGGTATCCGTACCTGAAGACGTGAGCAGTGACCCAAGAAAGCTCCTCCCCTGCCACATATTTTGTTAGTCTTTAAGGTGCCACGGGACTCTTGCTCTTTTCTACAGTTAGAGTAGAGTTCAGTAGCACCTTAAGAGCGGGGGCAGGGGGTGCACGCGAACACATGAAGCTGTCGTATAATGAATCAGACCCTTGGTCCCGCAAAAGTCAGCACTGTCTACTCAGACTGGCAGCAGCTTTCCAGGGTCTCAGGCAGGGGTCTCTCACATCACCTCCTGCCTGATCCTTTCAACTGGAGATGCCGGGGATTGAACCTGGGACCTTCTGCTACAGCCCTTCCGGAAGAACTACAGACTGGACCTCAATCACAGCCCAGTGCGGTTGCTGTTCAGATTGTGCTCAAATTCCTGGAATGTTGAGGGTGGAGCGTGGGAAGGGGGGGCTGGGGGGAACCTCAGTGGGGTATAATTAAATTTTCCAATCCAAGCCTGGAGCCAGCAGGAGAACTGAGGATGGAGACATGGTGGGGGTGGCAGCAACACGGAAGTGACAGCAGGTAACTCTAGGAATCGCCAGAAACTCTATGGTTTTACTAGAGAGCTTCCATCGATCCCTAGAGCTACCCTATGTGAATTAATAATAATAATAATAACAATAATAATAATAACAACAACAACAACAACAACAATAACTGGAGATGCCGAGCATTGAACCTGGGACCTTCTGCATGCCAAGCAGATGCTGTGCCAGTGAGCCACGGCCCCTCCCAGAAACCCTGGGCCCCAGCAGCTGCCTCACCTGAGTGTATGTTGATGCTGGCCCTGTTACATACAAGCACAGAGAAGGGCACGCACGAGTCACTCGCAACTCCCATCTCTGCTGCAAGGTGTAATGCCCGAGTCTACCTGAGAAGGTTCCCTACTGCCTGCTATAAATCCAGCTAGAAGCAAAGAATCATCAAAACCGCCATGGCAAAGCTGGGCGTTGGAAGCCACCGATCTCCCTGAGAGGTGGCTTAATTGATTACCAACCGACAGACGGGGGTCATTCCGAGCGGCGGGAGCCTGCGGGTCTTTAAACCCCGTCCCCTGCTGCTTCCAACAGAAAACGGCCAATTTGATGTGAGCATCAGACCATCAGAAAGAAGCGGATTAAATAGATGTGCTCGGGCCAGGAACAAATAAACGAGCAATTTATTTACAAGGAACCGCGGGTACCCCCGTGAGGCTACGGCTGTCAGCTCAGGAAGAAGGCCCCTTTGGTCGAAACCACAGGAAGGAAGGAAGACCCTGCCCCTTCTTTGAAATTTGAGCTGCCCTCCGATTTTTCGAGGCCAGCCAGGCCGTGGCAGAGCGGGAACCCGACGAGAACTGTGGCACCGATGGCATTTTGTTTCCCCTTCTGACAACGTTCCTGCTAAATTGTGCGTCTCGCACCAGGAGCGAGGAAAGGGGGAAAAATTGAAATAGCAGAGCAATGCCGGGCCCGCGGAATGCTTTGACATCCCCCTCAGGTGCCAAGCTTTTGAACCATGAAGATTTTTGTAAAATGATTTTTTCCGCTCCCCCCCACCTTCTGCTGAGGCAGCAAAAAAACAATCTGAGAAACGCCTCCCTGAAGCGACTTGGAGGAGTCTGGCAAGGCGAGATTTGAGTGTTGCATTTGACAAGGTGACAGAGTTCTGGCATCAGCAGTGAGCCATCGACTGGTTTCTTTGGTGAACTGTGCAGACCCCCCCAAACCCTCCCCACAAGAGATGGCCTTCTAGATTCTGGGTCTGAGGCCAATCACCTTTGGTTGATTGGGCCAGCTATGCCCACCCTGGTGAGGAAAGCTCTAGCCATAATACTTCTGTCTTGATAAGTACTGCTCTCTCCATGGGATGTCTATAGTGAATCCTGGGGAACAGCAACTGGTCCAGATGGTTGGAAGGGACTACCTACCAGGAACGTGTTTCTCTGTTGTAAGTCAGTCTGTGCTCAATGACAGCACAGATTCTGCAGACAAAGAGCTACCTGCCAGTACCCAAGCCAGTAACTGAACAATCAACTGCAGCCAGGAGGAGAGCAACAAGAGGTCAGATTACCAGCTGAGCAGAAGTCACAGCCTACCGCTGAAATGGAGCCGACTCGCCGCTGAAATGGAGCCAACTCCTTGTAGCTCTGAAGCAATAAAAAAGGCTTCAGGAGTCAGCAAGAGGTAGCATTTAAAGGCTGTTGCTCAGGGGTAGAGCCCCCGCTTTGTACGCAGAAGGTGCCAGGTTCATTCCCAGTGTCTCCAGTTACAAGGATCAGGTGGTAGGCGATGTGAAAGACCTCCGGATCAGACCCCAGAGAACCATCTGAGCAGACCATACTGACTGTGATGGATCGATGTTCTGATTCAATATAAGGTAGCTTCATGTGAGACCAGTGTTCCCTCTAAGCTGAGTGAGTGTGAGCTAGCTCACAGTTTTTTAGCCTCCGGCTCACATATTTTTGTCTGAGCTCAGGAAGGAGGGCTCCAGAGCAAACTAATTGATGCAGCAGCCAAATCGCTCACTCACAACTTTAATGCCGGTAGCTCACAAGGTAGAATTTTTCCTCACAAGACCCCACAGCTTAGAGGGAACATTGTGTGAGAGTTTGGATTTATACCCTGCCCTCCACTACCCAAAGGTGTCTCAGAGTGGCTTACAAACTCCTTTCCCTTCCCCTCCCCACAACAGACACCCTGTGAGGTAGGTGGGGCCGAGAGAGCTCCGACAGAAACTGCTCTTTTTCAAGGACAGCTCTTGTCAGAACTAGGGCTTGCCCAAGGTCATCCAGCCAGGTGCAAGTGGAGGAGGAGTGGAGGAATCAAACCCGGTTCTCCCAGATTAGAGTCTGTGCACTTAACCACGACACCAAACTGCTGCCACTCAGAGTACAGAATAATGACCTTGAGAGACCAATGGTCACTATAAGGCTGCCTTGTGTGCCTCCTAAAAGGACACTTGGATCCTTCTCACAGAGAATGGGAGTGTATGTAAACCTTAGGCATGTGTGTAGAGGGGAGAAGGACGTGTGCATAAATTTGGTGTGTCTACTGCAATGTGCCAAAGCCCCCACTGTGCTTTGGAACCCAATGTGCCAAAGCACCCACTGACACCTTTTCTGGCATCCACCATGTGTTTTTAGGAAGTGGGGCCGGGTAGGGCTTTTGCCCAGCAAGGCTTCTGGCTGAGTACTGGAGATCTGACTGTCTGTGCAGATATTTTTTTTAATGTTGCTTTGGCAGCAGCTGCCAGCACAGCGCAAGGATCTACACCGTGTTGCCTACGTTAAGCCGTGGCCATGGCATCGAGACTGGCTCCACCTCCTGCGGTGGCCATTTTATTTATTTATTTATTTATTTATGCAGCAGATCTTGGTCTATCGAGCGTAATGCTCTTTGAGGGACGTACCAGGAGAGATTGATTGATTGATCGATTGATCTGCTGGTGATCCCCAGCCCTAAGGATGTTCGCTTAGCCTATACCACAGTCAGAGCCTTCTTGGCTCTGGCACCAGTCTGGTGGAACGCTCTCCCTGGGCCCTGCGGGACTTGATGCAATTCGGCAGGGCCTGCAAGATGCAGATGGTTGATGTGGCGGCGACCTATTTATATGGGCCTCCCCCTGCACTACTGTCAACGTGTGTCATCTTTCATCCGCCTGTTCCCTCCAGTACTAGTTGCCATCCACCCGTAAAGAGAAGAGAGAAGAAGAAGAAGAGATTGGATTTATACCACGCCCTTCACTACCCAAAGGAGTCTCAGAGCGGCTGACAAACTCCTTTCCCTTCCCCTCCCCACAACAGGCACCCTGGGAGGTAGGTGGGGCTGAGAGAGCTCTGACAGAAACGGCTCTTTTTCAAGGATAGCTCTTATCAGAACTATGGCTTGCCCAAGGTCATCCAGCAGGTGCAAGTGGAGGAGTGGGGAATCAAACCCGGTTCTCCCAGATTAGAGTCCGCGCACTTAACCACCACACCAAACTGTAAATACTTGGGGAACCTGCGCAGAAGCAGACGAGGAATGGATTGGATAAATGGTGCCATCCACTGCGTATTATTAATATTAATTGATCTTATTGTTGCTTGGGTTTGAAGAATTGCTGCTCTTATATATTGAACTGTATTATTTATTGTTCTGTTGCAACTTACCCTGAGCCTGCTTGCAGGGGAGGGCAGGCTAGAAGCCTAATAAATAAATAGATAAATAAAATTTAAGTGCATTTTTTTTTATTTTTGCGAGCCGCCTTCAGTGGGTCTCTGGAGGGGCAGTATAAATATCTTTCCCCATAACTAAACAAGCAAATAAAATTCTGCACAGAGTAGACTGCTCTTTGAGTATTGGGGAGGGAGAGCAAGAGCATGCATATGAAAGAGAAACAGGCTTGTATGAGAGATGAATGTACAAACGGACACAAGGCAAATACCTACTGGTCTCCCTCCTGGTTTCTAGTTTACACAACAGTCTAGGGCAGGGGCGTCGAACTCATTTGTTATGAGGGCTGGATCTGACATAAACAGGCAGGGGTCGTTTCGTAGAAAAAGAGCTAGGGGAACTCATTAGCATAACTCATTAGCATATGTCAGACCCCCTGACATCACCGGAAGTGTGTCATAAGGCCACACCCCCTGACATCACCAGAAGTGTGTCATAAGGCCACACGGTGGGGAGAGGCAGGGAGGAAGCAACTTACCTTCCCTCTTCTCCTGCCTCCTCCTGGCTGAATGGGGGCCGAAAGCAGGGTGGCCGGAAGCAGGGGGCGGGGCTTTGTCATGTGCCCCCCCCCCGTACCTCACCCAGGGGAACTGCGATCCCCCGCAATCCCCCCCGAAATGACCTCTGGGGCCAGGCCATGTGTGTCATAAAAGGTAATGCCAGGTAGCGAGGTATAAACTTTATAAAGGACACAAACACAAAGGAGGTGTTTTTTTTACTTAAAATGAAAACATGCTTGAAACATTAGCACTCTTGCAATATTTTGCTTATTTAACAGTGTCTGATAACTGACACCTCTCGCTTTGAATTATTGCCTCAAAATATCTGTGCTGTTGCAATCTCGAGTGTGCTGTTCAGGTGTGGATCTGTAAGCTGCAAACCTATGATGACGCAGCAGCAGCAGAACTGGAAGAAGAAGCAAAAGACAGCCGGTTCCACTGTGGGCCTGATAGAAAACCCTCCGGGGGCCTGATCCGGACCCTGGGCCGCATGTTTGACATCCCTGGTCTGGTGGCACCTTAAAGACTAACCAACTTCATTCCCGCGTAAGCTTTGTTAGCCTGTTAACATGGAATAAACACGGTTAGTCTTTAAGGCGCCATTGTATTTCTGTTTTGATCTGGCTGCCAAAGACTAACATGGCTACCTCTCTCGAGTCTAGTCCACACAGCTGAATTCAGAAACCTGAATTCAGGCCCTTACAATGAAAGAAGCCCTGAAAAGTTAACATCGGCTAAGGTTAGGTACAGAAGTCTTTAAAGGTCAACCATCAAACATCTTAGTAAAATCCAGCAATGGGGGAGACTGGCAATTTAGCTTGCCAGAAAAGCTTCGGGAAGGGGGCTGATGCCTTTGGGGGGCTGCTGGTGGCAGGGACCAGCTGTGCCAAGTGGCCCTTGTGTGGCAACGGCACCCCCTACACACACGTTTACATTTGCCACAGCTCGGGTCCATGCCGAGCCGACCCTGCCAGCCCTTCGGGGACTGCTTGGCTCAGCTCGTAACTCCCCCGTCCACCCCTACCAACCTGATACAGCCACGGAGGGAGGGCTGGGTTCTCCGTAGCCAAACCCGTTCACAGCCACCACCCGGAATTCGTAGCTCACTCCCTGTTTCAGCTTGTCCAGGCCGACCGAGTAGGAGGTGGCGCTGCGAGGGATGTCCTTCGCAAACAGGTCCCACAGTCCTTCGTCTAGGGAAGCAGTGAGAGAAGGAGGTTAGCCTGGCTCCCGCAAACCCTCTCCTGGAAACAAAAGCACTTTGACCCAGATGGGCCATTAGACATTCTCCATCCTGTTAGTTACAGCTGATTACAGCGCATACATTAGGCATCCCATGAGGGCCATTGTGCAGCCATTCAACCGGTGGGTATCTGCTTCTGTGTGCGAAAGTGTTTCATATTTGGGTTCTCTTGTCCCTAGCAGGATGGTCTACCTAATTCTTTTCAAAATCTACTCAGTTACAGGGTTACCAGCCTCCAAGTGGTCGCTGGAGATTTCCCGCTATTATAACTGATCTCCAGGTGACAGAGATCCGTTCCCCTGCAGAAAATGGCTGCAATGGAAGGCAGGACTCTATGGCATTATACCCTGCTGAAGTCCCTCCCCTACCGAAACCCTGCTGTGGTAAGTCCGTCTGTGCTCAGTGACAGCACAGATTCCACAGATGAAGAGCTACCTGCAGCTGGCCCTCAGCCAGTAATTGAACAACTGGCTGCAGCCGGCTCTGAGCCAGGAGGAGAGCAACAAGAGGTCAGGTTACCAGCTGAGCAGAAGTCACAGCCTACAGCTGAAACTGAGCCAATGCCTCGTAACTCTGAAGCAGTACACAAGGCTTCAGGAGCCACTCATGGCCCACCTGGCTCACTCACATCCCTACAGTGCTGATGCTGTCCGAGGCGAGCTGAGTTGCAAGAAAGGAGTGTGAGACTCATGGCCCGTTGTCAGCTGTCAACTGACGAGATGGATGAGTAGTTCCAGGATGACGGCCAAGGAATTGGCTGGGAGTAGAGCTTGTTAAGACTTGGCTATAAAGTCAGCCAGGAGAAACAGCAGTTTGTGGATGCAACAGGTACGCTTTGCTACTGAACCACCAACCTTGCTGTTACCGAACCTCTGCAACCTTGAACCAGACCTGACAACCAACTTTTCTGGAAACCCAGATCCTGGACTGGACTTGCTCCCTGGAACTCCTTGACCCTAAGCTGGACTTTGTTAAACATGCTCTCTGGAACCTCTGATATTTGTTAAACATGCTCTCTGGAACCTCTGACATTGGACTGGACTTTGATTATTCTATCTCTCTCTTTCTCTCTCTCTGCCACCCTTGCTGTGACACCCGCTTCCTGGGAGGGCTGGGTCAGTACACCTGCCTTCTTAAGGTCCACCCCCAAAATCTCTAGGTATTTCCCAACCTGGAGCTGTCAACCCTAGTTTCAGTAGTAACAGAAGAAGGGACCAGTCTTCCCAAGCGAGAAGGGCTGGGTTAGTAGCTTGAAATGGGAACACCAAACATTCCTCATCAGAGAATTCTCAGAGACTCGCTTCCTTTGGCTTAAAATACCGACATCCTTCCCCCCTCCCCCGCCTGGCCGAATCTTGGGATGGGCATCTCACTTCCGCAGTGGGTTGGCGTGGTGCTAAATGATCTCTGTGGCCCCTCTGGTCTGTGAGCCTTTAGTTTTGCCACCAGTCAATTTTAGCGTCCTGATTTATTCAGTGCCACATGCCTCGCGACATCGATCACAGAGGCAGAGAATTCCCACGTCGCCCATTCGCTGATCAAGGCGATTGGCAGTTCCCCCGGCCGCCTGAGCGTGGCCGGCTAGAAACTTCATTGCCTGAGCCGGGTTAAGAGGAAGTCAATGGAACAATAAAACCGGTAATTTCTCGGTCACGTTTTTAAAAAACCCCAGACCAGCGCATTATGTGCTAGCATGGATTAGACTATAATAGAGCACCACAGTTTATGTATTGGGATATATGTTTGTAATGAATATAAAACCTGCGATAAAACATTGAGGTTTTTTCTTGGCAACTTTTTTTTTTTTAACAATGTAATAGAGGAGCCTCCAGTTTTATTTACTTGAAAGAGAGAGTAGCTGCACAGAGGAAGCTGGGAGTACAGGAAAACAAATAAAACCTTCATTGTTTTTTACACAGCTTCCTTGTAATAGATGTGACCTGCTTGTGTTAGTTAATATGAAGGAGAATTCCAATTTAGAGCGTACTCTGTGCAGCAGTTTCCCAGATAAGCTCTCACAGTCCTCCTCAAAGAGAAAATATCACTGGTGGATTCCGTTAGTTAAGAGTGTGCACCAGCATTCAGAAATGGGGATTTTCAACTATTGATACCAGAGAAACTAGACCAGTGGTGGCGAACCTATGGCACAGGTGCCAGAGGTGGCACTCAGAGCCCTCTCTGTGAGCACGTGTGCCATCGCCCCAGCCAGGCCCAGACCATCATTAAAGTGTCAAATTCTCTGCCGTGTTTCAGGAAAGTGGGCAAGGGCCTTCACCAATAGGGTTTACTGCAAGCCTCCCTCTAAATGTGGTTATTTTAGTTGATGGTAACTCCTTCCCTATGAAGAAAGCTTCATGAGGCTTTCTTAGCTTGGAGAAATGACGACTGAGGCTGCCATGATAGAGGTTTACAAAATCATGCATGGGGTAGAGAAGGTAGAGAAAGAGGTCCTCTTCTTCCTTTCTCACAAGATGAGAACTCGTAGGCATTCAATGAAATGAGTCATTAACACTGCTGCAGTGGTGACCGCTACAAGCATAGACAGCTTCAAGAGGGGACTGGATAGACATATGGAGCAGAGCTCCATCAGTGGCTATTAGCCACAAGGAATAGATGAAACACTCTGTCTGGGGCAGTGATGCTCTGTCTTCTTGGGGCTTGGAGGGGCAAGAGTGGGAGGGCTTCTGGAGTTCTGGCCCCACTGGTGGACCTCCTGATGGCACCTGGGTTTTGGCCATTGTGTGACAGAGTGTTGGACTGGATGGACCACTGGCC